GAGGCCGCGGGGCAGCCTGGGGAGGCCGCGGGGCTGGAGGTGTGCGGGGGGGCCCAGCCAGACGGCAGGAGCTGGCGGGAGCTGCGACTGGAGGTGGGACTGGCCTGGGTCAGTCTTGCAGGGCCTCAGCTGAGGGCTTTAGATTTGATCCCAGGTGAGATGAGAGGCCACAGGAAGGTGTTCAGCTGAGCAAACCCCCTGGCACTAGTGCAGCATGTGGGAGTGGGCTCTGTCTCCCACTGGGCAGAGGAAGAGACTGAGGGCCCCGGTGGACCAGGGACCTGCCAGAGGGCTCGCAAGGTGCTGGGTGACCCAAGCCAGTCGCTGTCCTGCTCAAGGCCTCAGTGTCCTTGTGTGTGAGGTGCCTGGCTCCACAAGCAGCCCAGCAGGCCCGTTGACCTCAGCCCTCTCTCCACCCATTAAGGCCAGAGATTCCCCTGTACCCATCCCGTCTGCCGCCACCTCCCTGGGCCTAGCACCAAGGGACAGGCCAGAAAGTGCCTGTTGAACTGAATGAGCTGCCCCAGCTTAAGGGGGGCTCCCCCACTCGGGACCTACAAACCCGAGATGCCCTCACTTGAGATGCCTGGTGCTGTGAACTGCGTCATGGTCCCTGGAGAGGGCTCATGATTTGCTGGGCAGAGGGTCCCGTAGTTGGGGCCCCAGATCGGGTGTCCCCCTGCCTTCTGTGTTCCCCGAAAACTGGCTGTGTGCCTGGGCCTGCTGCCTGCCCTGATTTGCATGCGGGGCCTGTGTCCAGTGCACTGGATCCGGACACATGTGCCAGCGGGAAGCGACGCCCAGAGCTGGGGCCCTGGGGGCACTGAGGACTCTTTCCTCCCCGTACCCCCATGTCCCTGAGGGGATGCCACTGGCCCCCCTCCTCTTCCCCCCTCATTTGCTCCTGGATCTCCTGGCAAGGGCTTCTCCATCAGTCCGGGGGGCGGGGGCAGGGGGAGCTGGGTCCTTGGGCCAGCTGGGTCTCAGGGGCGATTACTTCACTTAAATGCGTGTTTGCAGAAATCCCACAGGGTGCTAGCACACAGACCACCTCAGTGGACTTGGCATTTCCTTTTAGTGGTAGAGGAAGCCTGGAAGCAATGGCCAGGCCCTTCTGAGGGCCCATGGGGCTCAGGCTTTGCAGGGGCCTCTGGGAGCCTGCCTGTGTTCTGACAGCCCCCAGGGAGAGGGGGAAAGGGCCACGTGTAGCCCCAGGCTGGGCGGCTTTCATGGCTCCCCCCTTCATGGGGAGGGCAGGCCACACGGGCCCAGGGCAGACCCCGCAGTCCCTGAGGACTCCGTCTCATGCTGCCAGCAGGATGGGGCTCTGTGGGGGGATCAGGGCAGAATCTGCCAAGGCTGGGGCTGGGGACTGCTCTCTGTGGCCCGTCCTGGTGCATGTCTCCCGGGGACCTCCCTGCACTGCACCCCTTGCGGCCAGTGTGGCCTTGGGCTGTGGCAGGTCTGGGAGAGTGAGCAAGGCCAGTTGTCGGGATTGCTGAAAGCTGGTCCACCTGCCCTCTGGCTGGACAAGCCCGGAGCCCTCTCTCCACCTGAACAGTGGTGGCCCACCTGGGTCCTGGGGGTTCCAGAGGAGCCAATGGGATAGTGGCCATGGAAAGGCCCGGGTGGAGGTTGGGAGGCCAAGCTGCCCCGTGACCCTGAGGTGCCTGGGCCTTCTCACCAGCCCCCCCGCCCCCATTACTCAGACAAGGGTGTGAGTCCCACTGAGGCCCGGGGGGTGGGCTGGCTCAAGGCTGTGTGCCTGCAGGGGCTCACCCATGTCTTGGGGGAACAGGAGGGAGCCCCGTGGCCGTCAGACTCCCTTGTCACCACCTCCCCAGGGGTGTTGGCAAACTGGAAGACCAGAGGGGGCAGGGTGTGGGGGTCGGTCCTGCCTCCATCTGGCCCAGGATGCTCCAGCCTGGGTTTTCTCCTCAGTGAGCCCATAAGTGGGGCAGGGAGGGGGTGTGTGATTTCTTGGTTAAAATCTAGGTTATTGGCAGTGACGTCGCTGGCATCACAGGGCGCTGGGCATGCTGGGAAGAGGGTAGTGGGGAGGGGGGGCGTGGGGGCAAGCCGGCAGAGAGGGGCCTGTCCCCAGAGGCTGGCTGTCCCTCGGGTGCTGGCCCCCTTAGCCCTGCTCCCTCTGTGCCTTGGCCTGGCCAGATCCGGGGACATCCTTACACCCACCTCTGGTGGCCGAGCAGCCCTGGGGTCCCAGATCAGGGATGGGCAGGGCTCTCTTTAGGCTGGTAGAATCTGGAAAGTTCTAAGGACACTCAGAGTCCCTTCTCCTTTCTGGTCTCAGTTTCCCTCCCTGCCAAGGATAGGCTAGGTCTTTGACCAGCAGCTGCTGCAGGAAACGTGGACACCAGTGACCCCATCTGCACCCTCACCCTCATGGGGAACCATTGGCAGGGCCTGTGTGGCCAGCCTCTTGTTTTGGAAATCAAGGGATTAAATATCGCAGATAAAGCTGATTGCCTTTGACCCACAGTGGCCCCGGGCATCTTTCCCGCCTGTTCCCCTCCTGCGTCTCCTCTGTCTCCCTGAGTCTGTGTCACCACCCATTGGTGGAGACACCACAGCGATGTGTCCAGGCCTCGTTGAAAGGCAGCGGGTCATTTCTAACTTGTTGATGTCATGAGAGATGCCACCAGGAAGGCCCAGCTGTAGGGGTGTTGATGGGACTGAGTGGGACTCCCCCCATCTCACAGCCCCCCCTCCTCCTCCCCAGGGCATAGCTTGGGGCCTGGCTCCCTCGGGGGCTCAGGTCAGCCTGTGCTCCAGCTCCTGGGGGCTCGAGAGCTGGTGGGTGTCTGTAGGTTGAGGCAGTGGGGTCCTGGGGGTCAGTGTTGGTTCTGGGGTGGGTATAGAGAGCAGGCACCCTGGTGCAGTCAGGGGTCAGCCCCTGTGGCTTCCCTGTTCCCTGGACATGTCTGTTACCCACAGGCTGCGAGCAGTGGTGACCGAGATAATAGGGCCCCTACCCTCACATTGGGGGAGACACAGCAAATAAGACCCTGACAAGTATTTGGTCATGGCTGGGTGGTCACTGCCACCCCAGCCAAGGGTGGCAATGAGGCAGGGCCAGCCATCCCTTGGCACCCCCCGGAGCGAGACTGGTTGGGGAGGTGAGCATGGTGGGGTGGGTGTGGCACCAGCCTGGGTCCCCTGTCCCGTTCCGTGCGGGGTGGGTCCCTCCTGTGTCTGACCACTTTTCCATCCACCTCGCCCTGGCCCAGCTTTCCCTCGGCATCTGGACTGCAGACAGGGCCCCTCCCAGCTCTGCTCTTGAGCAGATGTTTGAACTGAAGGCAGGTATTGCCCCCTGAGGAAGCCTGAGACAAAGGCACACCTCCCTCTTTAGAAACCAGCCCTGTTAATCCTTTCCCGGGGCTGGGGGAGGCCACCCGGGGAGGCTGTGCTGGTGCACCGTGATGCTGGTGGCCCTGTGTGGTCTTGCTCCCCCGCCAGCTCCCGGGTCTTCCCACTGTCCCCTGCAAGCCGCTCCAGGTTCAGCTCCGTGGGACAGGCCTGCGAGCTTCGGTGGTGCCAGAGTCTCGGGAAAGTTCAGCCTCAGCCCAGCTGTCCCAGTGTCCTGACATGAGCACACGCCAGGAGCACACGCCAGGAGCACGTCTGTCCCTGGTCTGCCCCATGCCCTGTGTGGGGGGCAGGAGGCAGGGAGCGTGTGCGAGCCCACCAGGGCCAGGCCCCTCTCTGTGCCACCAGCAAGCTCAGCGTTGCTGCCCTCTCACCTTACGGATGTGGCCAAGGCTGGGGTGGTGGGTGGCTGGCCTGCAGCTGCGGTCCCTCCAGCAGGATCTCCTGCCTGCTCAGCCAACAGGATGCCTGTCGGAGGCCACCCCACCCAGGGCTGAGAATTCAAGGCCAGTCACTTGGAGTCCCACAGAGAAGGGAATAGAAGGTGGGATTTGTTCTTGAATCACCCCACTCCCCACCACCCCCCACTGCCTCCTGGCCTGGGCCAGGGTGTCACACTGTTAGAGCCCATCCCAGCCTCTGGTGGGGCCCCAGGAGCCAGGGATGTATTTGTCCCTGGCCTGGCTCGGGTGGCACCCAAGAGGAAGGGGGGAGG